GCATATCTTTGTTTTAGAAAGCTTGGAGGGGCGATAGGGAAGGGGTAATGAAACGGTAAAGGTTACCATAAACAGTTCTTACAAATCTGACAGAATAAAGCAAAAGTGTAACCAACATTAAACAAAATTTTTAAGGTACAACAGAAGACTTTTTTATGTGAGTGCATCTAACTTCCAGTTGTGACTGAAGTCTGGAAGATGGTGATGTTTTTGTCCTTTCGTTAATAACTTTTCCTCCCATAAAATGATGCCTCAGTGGAAGCTTAGGTGAAACTTATACACATGCTTTTACTTACTGCAGCTACTCTGTATGGCAATTATAGATCATTTGATCTTTAAAGACTCTTCAAGCTATTCAGTTAGTAGAAAAATGAAATAATTTATTTTATGAGGTTGTCTGTTGGACCTAGAAATCATCCAGTCCAGCCTCCTGTTCAAAGCAGGGCAAATTTTAGAGTCAGAGCAGATTATTCAGGATTTTGTCCCATTCAGTTTTAAAGATTACAAGGGAGCAGATTTTATGGCCTTCTCAGGCAACTTAGTATGTCCTTAACTGCTCTCTTTGTAGAATTTTTGTATACAAGTCTGTACTTTTCTGTGCTGTACCTTGTGACTTCTGCTTCTTGGCTTTTTGTAATGCACTTTGAAGGAGTCTGTGTGTTTTCTGCAACTCTTCTCCTGATGTGACTTTAGGGAAATGGGATTGGGAATGTACAAAAGCCTAAGCATCAGCCTGACTCAATACTTTATGAACACCGAGATACTATTGGGAAGCGTTATGCTTACTTGTTTAATTCTATTAAATATTTTATGGAGTGTATTAACAAGAGAAATGGGCAAAGAAACGTACTACTGAGAAAGGCTTCAGCATTGAACTAAGACCTGTTGTAAGGAAATCCCTGAATACATCTTTTTGCCTGGGTCTGTCATGTGGAAAGTGTGGAAATGATGAATTTTTTTTTATAGAAGGGTTTACCAACATGTAAGCTTAATGCTCACATTTTCAGGAGTGGGTGGTAAAAAAGAAGCTGAAGCAAAGGACATAATTGAGGTTTCAGAAGAATTTATGATACTGTGAGACACAAAAGATAAGTTTACAAAATCAGCTAAGAAAAGACCACTGGAATGGATTACACCAAGATATGAAGCGCAAAGGATAGCAGTTCAACATGGAGAGGGATAAGCTGTTTCTTAGGTCACTGTTTTTTATTACTGTCTATAATAAAAGAAAACAAAAAAGGTGCAGTTTCTTGATTTTATTATAAATTACAGAAGAGTTAGTAAGTGTAATGAACAGCCATAATATTACAGGATAATTTGGGAAGATTTATGCATCAATAAAACATAATGGATGTAATAAAGGCAGAAAATGTGCATTTTAATATCTGGAGGGCTTCAGCCTCTGTTGAAGGCAAATGTTCTTTTGCAGAGAAATATAGCTAACCCTGACTTATCTGAATATTTTTCTAGTGTTTTACAGCAGCAGTTTATGATGTCTAAATACATGTGAATATTTAGGTGACTGATAGCAGTGTAACACTTCACTTGAATTTTGTACTATTTATTTCAAGGAAATCATATTCCAAAATCTTTAAGACAGCAGAATCATTTGAGCGTTAATTGAGCTACATGCTCGTCTCTGAAGTAAGATGTTCATGTTATCAGTGTCACAAGCTGGTAGTACTTGAAGAGACATCCAGAATGTATGGAGATTTTACTAAGAAGCTAGGGATATAATGGCCTAACAATTCTAGACCTGTGCTTAAGATAGAAAGAATAAAAGAAAGTAGTGGGTTGTAACTTCCTCCTTCCCTTTTTCTCCCCAGAAATACATGTCTGTTAGTTCCCCTATGTGAGAAGCCTATAGTAACATCAAGGGAGGGCACAAAGTGGATAGAAGGTTATTTACTGCTGAAAATAATAGTAACTGCTCCATTGAATGGGCTTTAATGATGACTTTGCTGTAGTCTTCAAATCCTGAATGATATTTCGTTGTGCTGCCTCAATACCAGTCTGTTCACTAGGGTGTGGATCGCTCATGTTTTTTGAGCCACAGTGGCTCCTGGCTGAACTGAAAATAACCTTCTAAAACTTGGTGAAGTGTTAAGAGTAACAAGATGGAAGCTGTGTTTATTCCTCATGACCTGCACTGCTTCCAGCATGGTGCTGTATGTACCTCACCCGGAATTAATTCCTCAGCTACCCCTGTTGTCTTCAGAGGAGGATGAGGCTAGTGCCTGATCTCAAGACAGTTGTCCACGTGGCTCTTTTCTTCTCCAATAAGGATTGTGGCCTAATTGCATTTAAGAGGCTCAGCAGGGACAGAGGTGAAGTAGCTTTAGTCTTTTGCTGATTTTGTGATCAGAGGGAGTGCTGTTGGTGTACCCTAACTCCTTCTCTTGGTTATGTCACGTGTGCCTCTGACAACAAGTCAGATCAAACTTATTGACACTTTTTCACTAGGGTTCTTATAATTTAATCTACTTTCTGAAATATGATTGCAAGACAAAAATGAGAAATTTAGTCCCAGCAACACAGATATCTGTTCAGCCTTCTATCCTCAGAGGGTAACTGATGTTCACCTTTTCTGTAGGCAGGTATAGGAACTGTTCAGATGCTGTTTGCTGATTGTGTCCTGTGAGCAGTAATCCCAACCCTTTCCTTGGTTGCTTCTTTTGGTAGAAACCTAATTGTTCTGTTTCCAGATTTTAATTTAATTTTTCACTAGCAAGGCTTTCTTTCTCTCTTTCCTTGTACAGTCCCCCAAACTATTGTGTTATTTGCAGTGGACAGCTTTCTTTCCCTCATCTGAAGCCTGGCTGCTCTGTGGTGCTGCATATGATAATGCAAGAATCTAACTGAGGGTATTTAGGAAAGAAAACTAATTAGAGGTGCTTATCAGTTGAAGATTAAGGTTAAAAATAAGTCTAGCAGCAGATGACAGACTTTTTTCTAATGCACAGGAGCAGTTGTTAGTTGTTTTGGCTTTTTTTTAATGAAATACTCATTCTGACTTCTGTGAATATTTTAAAAAGTATATTTTGGGAATCTCTTTGTATCCAAACTATAAAGAAAACAAGTTCTTTAACACTTCTTGGGGTATAATTAAAAACCATGATTTCCAAACTTAAGTTGCATTGCTTGGTTTTACTCTCAGAAAGCCAAGCAGACACTGTACAGAATGTGTCCTAATGGGCCATCAGATCATGTAACTGTTATGTTAGCATGAGTTCATCTGAGTGGGAGATTAAGTGAGACATTGAACTGTAAAATATAAATTAAAATGCAGTTGAATAACTGTATTTTTTAATGCAACTTTCAATAGCGTCATAATTTTTAGGGTAAATTGATACTTTTTTTAGGCTATGATTTGAGACCCCATCTCGATCTCTGTTCTCCTTAATCCTACAACTATATATATATTTTATTATTTTAAAAAATGATAGAGAAATCAAATATGAAGATCTGGGGAATGTAAAGCTACACAGATTGGCATTTCCAAAATATTTTTCATTTTCATTGTTTTATCTAAATAATATATCCTCTTTACAAATCTTTTAATGTCTGCTGCACATCTGCTGCTCTAATTTTCCTGTGCTTTTCTAGCTGCTGTGTTGCTAGAAGCTGCTCAAGTAGATGGAAAGGTTACAGTGCACTCAATGGGAGAAATGTCTCAGTGAAGTGAGAAAAGCAGTAGAAAATAAATTGTATGAGGCCCTGAAAAAGAGTAAGAATTAATAGTTGAGCTGTTGAAGTAATGTCTTCAATATGAATTTGTATGCAAGAAGCTTATCTTTAACTGCATTTGTTCATTTTTAATGAAGGTTAGCCCTTCATGATAATGTATTCTAACACCCTTAACAGGCCTGAGTTAGTGTTTACAAATCTTGATTTTTCTGAATTGACAATATAAAAAATACTCACTAAAATATTAATAATAAAATGTGTCATGCGTGATGAACAGCCTGTATTCTAGTGTAAACATTTTTTTAAAGCAGTTGTTTCCAAACAACAAAAATCAAATAGATTATTCATGCCACGCAGGGCATCACTGCAATTCAGTGTTACCTCAGTTTACATTTTTCTGACAGATAACAGAGTTTCCAGAACTGTGTGAGCTACAGAGATTACAGTATTGTGAAATGATGTCAGCCTTTTTAGGATATTTACCGCAGTTATTTGGCATTTTCTTTAATAAGAAATTCCTCTGTTGCTTTAATCTTCAAATTTCCTGTCTTGTGTCCTTCTGAGTCCTTTCGCTTTATTATGGAAAACTTTATTTTGAGGTTTGAAACTGGGAATATGAAGGTGTTTCAGTCACTAAAAATAAAAATTCAGTAACTTAATGCTCACGTCCACTGTGTTTCTTATTCTGTGTCATCATTTAAACCTTGCCAACTTCAAATATATGACACACGGGCAATTTGGAGGACCTGCCAAAATTGCAACAACTGTGTAAAGAGAGGCTAAGTACCTGTAGAAGTTTAAATTGTCTAAGAAACACATTTCCAAGCACGAAAGATTTTCAAATTGGAATTGCAGTGCTTATGTGTAGCTAGATCTACTAATTACCAGAATAACTATCACAGTTCTCAAAAGCGTTGCTGTAATGGAACTTGGGATTGTGTTTGGTGAGAACTACTACCTCCTGCATATGGCTGTATTCACCGCAGTGAACTTCATCCAGTTAAAAATTGATTTTTATGGATGGAGGCCTATCGAGCAACTCTGCCCTTCCCACTGACTGTGGAAAGATGAATTAAGCATTACAGGCTGTTCCCTCTGGAGTCTCTCTGGGCTGGTCTACAACTTGAAGGTTTTGTTGGCAATTTACTGGGCAATTAAAATTCTCAGGAAGTACTTCAAAGGAAAATGGATGTTTGGCTGGCAGGAATGGATGTTTTCCAGCCAGAGAAAAGAGAAAAATGTTGCAAGGCAGATTTAAACCCTGTAGGTCTTTTATAAATAACCTATCACTGACTATCATCTCTTCCTACTAGTTTCAGTTTGTCTGGACAAGTTTCTCCAATCCTCTATGTGATATGGAGGCTTTTAGGCCACGCAGGTTTTGAAGGTATTGAAGCTCCTTCACATCTAGAACAGCAGACTGCAGAAAGGTAGCATGCTTCTACCCACTAATGTCTTTCAAGCAGTTGTAAGAGATAGAGCTCTATCTTGAATGGTGATCTGGAATAACATAGAGCAACCATTCTTCCAAATTAGTCGCATACTTAAAGGACAGTATTAGTTGTCTTGGACTGTTTGCAGAGTCCAGGGGAATCAGACAACTTCAGTTCGTGCAAAGTAAATGGGTTAAGTTTCTTAGAATATAGTTTAAACCCCCCCCCCCCCCCCCCCGTTTTTCTCCATGTCTTATTGATTCAGCAGCACAGGATTTGCTGTTGAAAGAGTAAAGATCTTTAGGACCTTTTCCAGAACAGTGAGATGTTTGAGGAATGTGAAAAAATAAAGCATTTTGGATGCAGCACTTTGGGTCTTTGGTTAGTGAAATGTTCATGAATTTAGTTAGTCGATACACTGGGAAGGCACAAAATTTTCCTTCAGCCTGCAGATGTTAAAAGTGGTTGTGGGATTTAATGGGAACCATAAAAGACTTATTTTTCTATGTTAACAATAGAGTCTTGTTTCTTTACTTATGCAGTTCCCCCAAAATGGTATCTGGTCTGAGATGTGGCTGTGATTCTCAACATTTTCACATGTGTGCTGCTATCAGTTTTTAACTTACTTTATAAGTAAGCTTTTTAAGCTGAAGCTTTTGTAAAATTAATTTGCTCACTACAAAAGTATGCTTTGTTTACTCAGTTGAAAGTTAACACAATTTCAGAAAAGCTGATGGGGCATTTTGTTTGACTCACTTTTTGGCAATGGTGGAGTAAAGTGATTAGTAACTCATGCCTAAACCATAAGGAAGCTGGATCCACACCTGTTCTTTTTCAAACCAAAGTAGTCCTTTCAAGCGTTTGACACTTGTTCACTGGTATCCCAAAAGTAAGTTATGAAAAGGATTTTGCGAGCTTGATTCTTCAGACTGCTGTCGAGTACCTGTAGGAAGCTGCAGGAGTACTGACTAGCAGAAAGTAAAACCGGGAAGGGTGTTTGATCCATAGGTTCTATTTAAACTATCATATTAAAGGCTTACTGTGTTATACTGACTGAAGCAATCACAGAATCATAGAATAGTTGGGGTTGGAAAAGATCATCTAGTTCATCACCACCCTTGGGTTTTCCCAGTATTACTGCCAACATTTAGATAATGCCTTTTGAAACTGAATTGAGGCCCATTTATTAATTTAAAGCTGTATCTTTGGAGGAGCTGGTGAAGTTGAAGAGGATTTAATTAATTACGTTTTGATACAAAAAGCTTTACTTTAGAATTTAAAAGGGGAAAAGCCACAAAAACCCTCCATTAAACCTCTGAATATTTATTGTGCCATATCAAACTGAATAAAGATATTTTTCATTGAAGCAACGGTTTTACTTAATGGTCCAAGGAGGATCCTTAGTTTTATTCTTCTCACAAGCATGCTATAGCAGAGTCTACTCTTTACCAAGTGGTTCTTAGCACTCCTAAGGATCAGAAATAGCTTCCACGAAACAGCAACTAGCACATCAGAGTATTGGATTCCTATTAGAGGGCAGCCTTACACAGGAAGATGCCTAGATTTTGGAAGATGGTGTACTGCTATTACTTTTTTGCTGTATATACTCCATAGGAACAGTTATATTTTCTTATTATGCAATGGCCCAAATTCAGAGTCATACAAACTCCTGAGAGTCTCGTGATTATGGCCCTTTGCTAGCATGGACCTGAACTGGAAAAAAACTCTAGCATACAGTTTTCTTCCCACTCCATAGTTGTATTGTCACACTACTGTGCAAAGCATTGCTGCATCCTTCTTCCAGGCTCAAAGTCACAGCACGGTCTCATGACTGCACACAGGATTTCAGCTCTGATTTCTGATTTCATACTGATGTAACAGTACTCTGAGCTCTCAGAAAAGAATTTTTTTCAGTAGTTTTTGTTGGCTGTGATAAGCATTTCCTCACAGAGATTGCTAGTTGTGAATACTGTGCACAAACATCTGTCTCTTGTGTTAAATGTAATTGGGAATGTAGATGCCCAGACCAGCAGTGTGAATTCTCTGGAGCTAAGTGCTCATGTCCTTACAGCTTTCAGTGCTGGGAAGCCTGTGTCTGTTGTTTTTGGTTTTGGTCCAAGGTGTTCAAGTAGGCTCTTGTGGCTCAGGCGCCTAGTGTTTGATATTCTCAAGTTGTTCATTGTCAAGCTATTGAATGTCCATGCATTGCATAGCATCCAGTGATGAATGACCTAACCAGTCAAGAACAAGTTTTTCTTCCCTGGAAAAATACAAATAAAAAATGCTGCAAACACTGAGTTGCAGATTGTAACAAATGTTCCTGCATCCATGATTCTTCTTGCAGCTGCTGCACCTCATCTCTTCATACAAAGCCCTAGCTTTTCTTCTACACCTGCTGTTCCGTGGAGGTCTCTGCTGTAGGCTGTACATCTTGCCTCAGGGCTGCAGGGGACATTCAAGACGCGATATTGTACAGAGGAGTGAGCATAGGAGAGAAAGGTTACAGAGAACACAGGCTTAGGATACAGACAGACTGTCAGGGCCGTAGGTGGTATGGGCATTTGTACTTTGACAGATGTCAGCACTTGTATCTGTCATGCATACAGTTACCTTCCATGTCTGTTTAGTGTAATAACTGCCTGTGACATGTTGTGTCTGGCAGTAGCTTCTTTGTGGAGCCTGAGGTGTGGTTTGCACAGCAGCTTTGCCCTTGGGCACTCTGTTGCACTCTGCTTTCTTCTCACAGACCTCAGGAAGGCAGGTTACTTGACCTGTACTTTTCCCCTGAATTTAGAGCACATTAGTACAGTGTAACCTCCACTTTGTTTCTAGGAGACACCCACTGTGTACCAGGGTGTGTAGCTCCTTTGGAGCTTGTTCTCAACCAGATAATAACCTTATTTGAGAAACCTCCTTGGATGCAATGATGTCTAATTGAACTTAGCAGCAGAATTCCTATTGACATTATTAAGTTAGGTCATAATTCATTATCCGTGGGTGTCTGTGATATGATTGCCTTTGTAGTGGTATATAAAAACTGATGGAATTAGATTTAGATTATTTGATTTACTTTTCTAGTTGATTTTTGACAAGCTTTTTTATCTGCACTAGTCTACACAGGTAGGAAGAGCTGTACAAACGTGTCTTTTTTTCAACTTAATTAATTTGAAAGAAAGGTGGCCATAGTAGAATATGAAAAGCTTTCTGTAACACACTGTGACATTTCCTACAGCAAATAGACTTGGCCTTTATGTGGACATTATCACTAAACAGCAGTTAAGAGGCTATTGCTTTTTATGGTACCATAATTCTTCACCATTTATCCACAGTAGGAAATGGCTGAAGGAGCACACCATCCTCTGTTGACGTAATTTGCTTTCTAGCATAGTGACTTCTAAAGGTAGCATGTAGACAGATGGGTGTTCTTAAAACAACTGAGCCAGCAGAAGATTTTACAGCCTATCACCCTGACTGTTTCTCTCTGCTGATGGGTATTGCCTTCCTATGAGAGTCAGATAAATCACTTATTTGATTTTTTACCTGTTTAAATCTGTTAATTCCTTTGTTAATTGTGCCAGCTAGAAGAGGACGTTTGTAACTTTATATAACCTGTACTATGCTAGTGATGAAAATTAAATTGGTCACAGACCTATAGCGGTAGACCAGAAGCCAGTATAACTTGATGAGTATTTAGGGATAGTAGCTGTGGTTCTGTCGGGTGGATTTGTGGAACTTAGTCTAGCATGTATAAGTCTAGGGCCAAAATTCAGTTCTCTGTCTTTAAACTTACTAGGCAGAAGGAGGAAGAATAACCTAAGTTTTTAACAGGGCTGAGCTAAAATCTCAACAACCCTATAAACATGATCAGTGAAGTACTAGACTGGGCTCTGTGGGCACTATCATCAGAAAGGAAAAAATGCTTACAGTATCACTTTTCATTCAGTTGGGATCAGTATTAGAACCGTAAAATATAGCAGGTGATTTCAGACTTCTAATTAAACACCAGGGGTTGCACTCCCACTGCAAAAGGTGGAATCTAAAATTTGTGATATGAAAATTCTCAGTTATGCCTTTTTTTGCAACCCTCGTAAGTCCTTTTTGAACTAGAGAAACTATTACATTTGGAAAGCCATCTATGGAGCATCAACATTTTTCAGGTTTTTATAAAGTGATTAATCTGTATAGGATTTGTGGAATCCAAAGCAGAAACATTATTAAATAATACATGCTGAAGAATATGTGATCTCATATTTCTTCCACAGAGGCTTGTGGTTTTGTTTTGTTATTCGTGAAATCTCATGGGTCTTCTAAAAATTAGCAGATATGAGTACTGTAATAGCTCAGTAATGTCATCTGTCTGGCATCAGGAGCCCTCTTTTGCAGTAGCTAAGTGTCTTTTGATATGTGATGTAGTCCGGTAATGTGTTGTAAAGCTCTCTGGCTTCACTGAAGAGTAAAAGACTCAGTATCAGCCATTTGTAAAGCCTTTTAATAGTGCTGAAAGAGCACATAATGACAGTGTACAGTGCTAGAACAAAACAACAAAGACTGGATAGACAAATGTTGGTGGCCACTTAGTTTTGCAAATAATTACAGTTCATGTGGTTTTGGCTTTTACAACTTTGGAGTATAAATCCTTTTTGTTGAATTTCTATAAAGTGTTATTCAGGAAACACATTTCTGCAAGAAAACTGTCAAATGTTTCGCAAAACATTTAACAAAACAGAAAGCAAAAACACTTCTTTGAAACCTGTCATCCAATCATCTGTCAGTATATTCATTGGTTTTGAAATGCCACCAAAGCATCCATGAATTAAAAAGGAAAAAGTTGTTTTGAAAGTGGATATATCCTTCTCATGTTAAAATTTGTAGTACAGTTTTGTAAGTAAATTACTGACCTAATTTAGTGACAGAATGACAGAAGAAATCAAATATTCTGCCTGGCAAAATACAATAAAAATTGAATCTGTGGATTATTCACAAAATGCTTTTATCCCTGTCTTGTTTTGC